CGTCCATCGTCAGGAAATACTGGTCTGTCGGAATCATTGACTTATTCTCGGCCGCCTTTGCGATGGCCGTCCCCTCGTCGTACTCGTCAAACATCGCCACATAACACGACGGGATGTCCAGCTCTCGTACGTTCACGAACTGACGCCACATGAAGTCACCATGCACACGTGGGTTTTCATTGCGTTTGGACGCGGGATGCGAATTGCTCCAGGACGATCCCGCAAATAGGACAGGCTGATAATCTATAGCATTGGAGAATATAATGTTTTTTGTACATTATCATATAAAAACAAATCAATTTTAAAATTATTATTGTTTTGCATTTGTTTTAGTTGGGAACATTGTGACCTGTCAGTAAATTGCGCAATTAAAATGGGTATTTAAACAAACTATATGTCCATGTCAACAAATTGAATTTATCAAACTCGGCACTTTGTTTTTAATTTGAGGGCTCATTGCCGTTAGAGTGTTCATGAAGTGTCGTCTATAAAAATAATGTTATTTTTATGTGTAAAATCACTATGTCAATACGTTTATAACTGGATTTACTGGACTAGCTCATGATATTTTCCGAGTTTGATCAATTCAATTTGTTGATATGGACATATAGTTTGTTCAAATACCCATTCTAATTGCACAATTTACTGACAGGTCACGATGTTCCCCACTTAGTATTATTCCTATGGAAATAGATCCCGAGTAATACTAACCAATGTTATGCTGCTTCAGTGTGTTGTGGTCCGCCTCCAGCGTCTTCTTGTAATCCTCGGCCCCCTTGACGTTACCGTAGCGGCCGACAGTCCAGGGCTGCAACATATCGAGCTTCGTGAAGACGTCCTTCCAGGCGGTGGTGTCGGTGCGCCACTGAGTGCCCACACCCCCCGACACATACAGACCCTGTTGCTTGAAGTGCTCGATGAGGGCAATGGCGCCCTTCGTGTCCTGCGGCCTATCGTCAAACCCGAAGCCCCAGATGCAGACCACGGGTTTGCCGTTCTGGTGGGCGTAGGCCTTACTGGACACCAGGCGCTTGATGTTGTTGTCGTAGTCCTCGATGATTTCAGTCGCGAAGTTATTCCAATTGCTGATATCCCACATAATATAAAACTTGCGGTCGTGAGCCTCGGCGCCCGCCCTCACGTTGTCGGCCACACCGTTCAAAGTTTTCAGATCGATTGGGTCGCGCTTTACGGCACTCGCGAACCGCTGGAGGGCTGCCGTATCGATGTTGTTCTGGGGATGGGTTTCATACGTTTAATTCAATGAATACGTGCGGATATAGTGTGCAAATGCAGGCCCTTTTGCAGGACAGGGCAGACCACACTTCAAGGGACTGCAGGCCAGGGTAGGGTTTTTAAAGCGACTGACCGTAATTTACCTTTGACCTCTTGAGTGGGGTGGGGGTAAGAGTTGACCCAACAACAAATGTTATAGCAATATCTTATAGTATTACTAATACCTATAGTTAATTGCAATGCATTTGAATAAAAGCTATTTTCAAATGTAAACGTATGGGTCATGTAATTGTCGTCTTTATGTCATACACTCATTGATAAATAGCCAAACATAAGGCTATTCAAGGATATATATGGTAACCAGGATAGTCACCTCTTTCATCCATTTGAAGTGTGTGTCCACAGTCTGCTTATCCCACGCCGAGAACAACTTAGCCGGCTGTCCATTACCGAGGTTTGCGTAACCCGTTTGGTAGGTATGCGTGTATTCCCGGGTGTCAGGATAGATTTCAAAATTTGTGTGATCTTTGTAAGGATGGTCGCTATTGTGGGGCCAATGGATCCACGAATTATGCGGTGAGTTATCCCCTTTGGCGCCAAACCATCCCTGGTATCCGACCGTCAGTTTGCCGACAACGTCGCCGACAGCACTGGAGGCCAGTAGTGGTGTGGCCGCCGACAGGCATACTATGAGCACTATAACTGCACTAGGTGCTTTCATTTCACTTTCTAGTATTCAACACACGTTGTGAACTGATCACAAAGTTAATTGTTTTTACATATATACGTATATACTATATATAGGTATGCGAACCATGCACCTGCTTGTTCATTAATTTGTACAATAAATAAATTGAGTATTTATGAGATAAATGGTACTTTAAAAAGTTTTGAAATCTGATCCAGGATGTTATTGAATTCCAATAACAATTAACTCAAGAGTAAGTACTTTTCAGTACATAGTAAAAACAATAATATAGATACAGTAATTTAATTTATTTTAATGAGTTAGTTATAAGCAGAGTATATAAGCAGAGTATTTCTCACCATTCAGAGAGGTAGTACATTTGGGCCACGACTTAATATTGTAGTTCGACAAAAGACAAAATCGACTTGATGACCATATTGATTTAATGTCCAGACATAAAAATCAAAAATTGAAAACTTTATTCTTTATCAATTCTTTATTAATCACAATAATTGAGTAATTATTTCAATTGTATCATTTACACAATTAATTGAATTAATAAGATAATGTGTTTTCTAATAAATTTATATACACTTCAAAAATGAACTGTTATCGAAAAAATTAATTTCTTTAAAATAACATTATATAGTCCATCAGAATCCTCGGCCGATTTCAAAATGTCTACTTTTGTCCTTACTTTTCAATTTGTAAAAATATTTTATTTGGTATAAAAACAGACTGACCAACTCTGATTGTTCAAATAGTGTACAAATATCAAAAATAGTTGATAAAATAGTGTACAAATAGTGTTCACCAATTTTTATTATGAATTTGAATTACAATATTTTTGAGAATTGATCTTTTTGAATGTAAAATCTATAATAATATTTTAATCCAACATTAAAATTAATATATTATCTTATGAAATTACGGTAATTTTATTTATTAAGTATATGTTCATATAAATTTCAACTAATTAAATGCATTTTTAAATTTACCTATTTGTTAATATTTTATACAGTACAATGTGATACAGGTAGCCGTATTTATAATACCCACTTTTCCACTTTTTTGTCCACTTGATTAAATTCAGGTATAACATGTCTATATAAGTTATAAGGTATAATTAATAGTTTAAATATTATAAATTTAATAATTATACATTTATTGTCTTATAAAAATGGTTATTGATCTAGTATATATGTTTTAGACAACTCAATATTATTGATCCGTCGAATGACTTATACTGTATAAGTTATAAGTTATAAGTTATAAGTTATAAGTTATAAGTTATAAGTTATAAGTTATAAGTTATAAGTTATAAGTTATAAGTTATAAGTTATAAGTTATACCTACTCTGCACACCGGAGCCATTTGGGGCCACACTATGAGTGACAAAACGTTAAACATTTTAACATTAATCCTATACTGACTAATGTTATAATAATCACTATTTTGTCACTGTTAATGTGGCCTGGATCACAATGTATGCGCATCGTAGAGTTATACTGTATATGACATTATAAATTTCATTTTTAATAATGATGCTTTAATTGACACTAAAAAATGGTATAACTATTTAGGCAACTCAATATTATACACCCACATTTTTAATGACATAATATTTAATCAGGGTAGTGTTTTGTGGGATGCGTTTGAGTCAACGGTATCTGCTTTTGCATCATTCGGTTGCCATCGCCGGCGAGTCGAAGGTAGAAGTCGGCGCTGACGGCCACCCCGTCGGCGTCCATCGTCAGGAACCACTGGTCTGTCGGAATCATTGACTTATTCTCGGCCGCCTTTGCGATGGCCGTCCCCTCGTCGTACTCGTCAAACATCGCCACATAACACGACGGGATGTCCAGCTCTCGCACGTTCACGAACTGACGCCACATAAAGTCACCATGCTCACGCGGGATCTGATTGCGTACGGCTTTTGGTTGCCAATTAGCCCACGTGAAGCCCGCAAATAGAACTGGCTGATAGTCTAAAGCATTTGGGATTGCAATGAATTTGAATATTGATAATTCAATTTTAAATAATTATTAGCAAAATGTGTTTTAGTATTAATCCTATGAAACTAAATCCCGAGTAATACTAACCTATGTTATGCTGCTTCAGTAGAGTGAGGTCGGCCTCCAATGTCTTTTTGTAATCCTCGGCCCCCTTGACGTTTCCGAAGCTGCCGACCGTCCAGGGCTGCAACATATCGAGCTTCGTGTAGACGTCCTTCCAGGCGGTGGTGTCGGTGCGCCACTGCTTGGCCACACCGCCCACCACATACAGACCCTCTTTCTTAAGGTGCGCGATGAGGGCGATGGCTCCCGCGGTGTTATTAGGCCGACCGCTGACCCCTAAGCCCCAGATGCAGACCACGGGTTTGCCGTTCTGGTGGGCGTAGGCCTTACTGGACACCAGGCGCTTGATGTTGGTGTCGTAGTCCTCGATGAGTTCGGTGGCGAAGTTAGTCCAACCGCTGATATCCCACATCACGTAAAACTTGGGTCCGTGAGCCTCGGCCGCGGCCCTCACGTTGTCGGCCACACCGTTCAGACTTTTTTGGGCGATGGGGTCGCGCTTAACGCTACTCGCGAACCGCTGGAGGGCTGCCGTATCGATGTTGTTCTGATCGGACACAAGCCATATGTGAATACTTTTATGAAACACTAGTTTTAGTCATTACAGTCATATAGTTAGGCATAGGTTTCTAATAGCAAACTAGTGTTACTTAATATTGCTCATTCATCATTAGTTTTTAATTGTTCACGCAATTGGTATTCATTAATTTATAGCAACAGGTATGTTTCGTTCAAGGTTGCTAATGCTATAGATGGACAGGCTAACAGTTGAAAGTGACTGATTTATAGATATAGCCTGGGACTGTTTTTTGATTGACTTTCTGTGTAATGCATGTTTGCCAATATTGCTATAGTGTGTAGACTTTAATTTTATTTACTAAAACTTTTAGTAAAAGTATTTTAATGTTCAGTAGTAAAAGTATCACTTCCCAACTACAGTATACTGTATCTGTACCAAGAAAATCAATTCATAATTTTAGGTAAGTTGTGAATTTTTANCCGACAGACCAGTGGTTCCTGACGATGGACGCCGACGGGGTGGCCGTCAGCGCCGACTTCTACCTCCGACTCGCCGGCGACGGCAACCGAATGATGCAAAAGCAGATACCGTTGACTCAAACGCATCCCACCAAACACTACCCTGATTAAATATTATTTCATTAAAAAATGTGGGTGTATAATATTGAGTTACCTAAATAGTGTATACCATTTTTATGTGTCAATTAAAGCATCATTATTAAAAATGAAATTTTAAAACCTCATATTTGAGTTATAGTTTAATAATAATGAAATTAATAATTATAGTTTATAACAATTTTGTTATGACCATAATTGTATAATTTTGTGGAAACCTTTTACAGTATATATAAAATTTTTAAAAAAAATTTTAATAATTAAACTAAAAATTCTTACTACTGTAATTACATTTATTTTGTAATTATCGAGTGATGTGTTATAAGTTATAAGTAATAATGTAGTACATTTAATCAATAAATATTATGATAAAATATAGTTCAGAAAGATCCTAATATTAGTAAATAACTCAGTGAATTAAATTTTTATATCAACAAATAGCACCTGTGTCTTTAGAATTTTGGTAGAAATAATCTACCAAAACCGATATTAGGTATACTAATTAATGTACAGGTAAAAGTAAAAATGTCTTGAAAATCTTACCTAATATTGTAGTTTATAGAATAACTGTACTTAAAATGTATTTTTTTAATACTTTACATAAGATATTTATTAAGCTTAAAGCATTGTATAATTTTTTAAAATTGGTCATACTTTCATTATATTTTATTTTTACATTGATATAACTTTCAATATCCTGCATTAAAATAAGATAATTTTTATCGGGAAAATACCTTGGTACGATCTACGATAGTTCTTGGCTTTCTATTATATAGTTATTGGCATTGAATGTATTGAATCAGGTTATTTATATAAAACATTATTATCAAGCAGGTGTACACAAGTAGTTTGCACAGACATAGTTATATATAAATAAATTAAAAACAATAAACTTTGTAATAATTTCATATCGTGTGTCAAATAATTAAAAGTGAAATGAAAGCACCTAGTGCAGTTATAGTGTTCATAGTATGCCTGTCGGCGGCCACACCACTACTGGCCTCCAGTGTTGTAGGCGACGTTGTCGGCAAACTGACGGTCGGATACCAGGGATGGTTCAGTGCTAAAGGGGATAACTCACCGCATAATACTTCGTGGAACCATTGGGCCCACGGCAGTGACCATCCCTGCAAAGATCACTCTAAGGTTGACGTCTATCCCGACACTCGGGAATACACGCATACCTACCAAACGGGTTACGCTAACCTCGGTAATGGACAGCCGGCTAAGTTGTTCTCTTCGTGGGACAACCAGACTGTGGACACACACTTCAAATGGATGAAAGAGGTGAGTACACCCTGTGACCATATATAGATCTATATCTATAATTACCATTCATTGAAAGCCGGGCCACATTAACAGTTACAAAACTTTTGAACATTATACATTATTCGGTATTTTGTCATTCATAATGTGGCCCGGATTAGCACGGTGCTCAACGTATCCTTATATCCTTGAATGGCTTTATGTTATTCCCAGGTGCTATATTCGGTGAGAGTTATGAGTTAATGCAATAGCGACAAACATGCATAACCCAGGAAAAATAGTGCTTGATTATGTTAATAAATCTATCACATCCAAAATACCAAAATATGAATAATGTGTATAATTGCAATCAATGTTTACCACTTTTTGATTTATAGATAATTGACCTCTCCCATACTTAATCCCTCCTTACATAGTAAAATAAAACATGTACAGTATTAGTAGTGCTCACGCTTTTGGCTGACTTCCACCCCCACCCCAGTGTGTATTTACTAACTGAATGAACCCTCCCTTATGTGTCCGATCAGAACAACATCGATACGGCGGCTCTGCAGCGGTTTGGGGGTCACGTAAAGCTCGACCCCATCGACACGAAATGGATGAACGGTGTGGCCGATCACGTGAGGGCGGCGGCAGAGGCTCACGACCGCAAGTTTTACGTCATGTGGGATATCAGCGGTTGGAAAACCTTCGCTACAGAACTCATCGAGGACTACGACAACAACATCAAGCACTTGACGACCAGTAAGGCCTACGCCCACCAGAACGGCAAACCCGTGGTCTGCATCTGGGGCTTAGGGGTCAGCGGTCGGCCCAATGACACGGTGGGCGCCATCGCCCTCATTGCGTCTCTATGTTGCGGGCGGTGTGGGCACTCAGTGGCGCACCGACACAACCGCCTTTAAGGACGTCTACACGAAGCTCGATATGTTGCAGCCCTGGGCGGTCGGCCGCATGCGGAACATCAAAGAGGCTGAGAATTACAAGAAGACATTGGAGGCCGACCACAACCAACTGAAGCAGCATAACATTGGTTAGTATTACATCAGGGTCTATTTCTGATTCTTTTTCAGAGTGATTTATGTTTTGCATAAATAATTCATTTAGCAAATGGATATTGGTAAAATTAATAATTTTCAGCTTACTAAAGCATATTTGCAATCTAAAAATTATTTAACGATTGGTTAACCAGTATGCATTTATTAAAACATGCCCAACCCAATTCAAAAGGCTAATGTTCAAAATCATTATAAATTAATAGATTGTGAATTGATCAAAATCTATAGACTTTCAGCCTGTTCTATTTGCGGGTTTCACGTGGGCTAATTGGCAGGACAAAGCAGTACGCAATCAGATCCCGCGTGAGCATGGTGACTTTATGTGGCGTCAGTTCGTGAACGTGCGAGAGCTGGACATCCCGTCGTGTTATGTGGCGATGTTTGACGAGTACGACGAGGGGACGGCCATCG